CTAATAAAAGTAAGAACATTAAAATTAGCCTGGTAGTTCTTAAAAAATCTTTAAAAAATTTCTTTTTTATATATAAAATTTCTTTAAAAAAAATTAATTTTTTTTAAAGAAATTTTATATATTAAAAAGAAGTTTTTTAAAAATTTCTCAAAAACTACCAGGCCAATTTTAATATTCTTACTACTATTAGATGTATTTTTATAAGCTTTATAACTATTGCTAGAAATTTAAGTGATTTACTTAGTAAAAAAAAGTTTTAAATAGAAGTATTGTACTTTCAGGCTTATAGTAAAATTTATATATAAAAAAATTTTTGTTTAGGTATCTTGTAGATTATCTATTAAGTATAAAATATTAATTATGCATCGATTAATATTGTGAAATTTATTTATATTCGGGCAAATGATTGTCTGACACATGCCGTGAAGTAGCACATATCAGACAATCATTTGTTCGAATATAAATGAATTTTCGGTATTTATTAATGCATGATCAATATCGATATTATTGTGTATAATATGATCATTTTAACTTTTGCGCTATGATATTTTAAAGAAACACTTTTACTTTAAAGAACATTTCTATTTCAGTCTTTTTTTTTAATAAAAAACTTTTGTTCTATTTCATTATAACAATTTGAAGGATTTTTTTTCCTTGTGCTAAACTTAGATTGCAAACTAGCATTGTATTTTTTTTTTTTTTTTTTAAACTTTTTTTTTTTTTTACTTATTTGCTGTGTCATCGTTGAAATGCCAAAGATTAAGAAGGTATGATTTATTATATAATACTTATTACTTATACTTACCTATATTAATATAAAACTCTATTTAGAATTTTAAGTATTCTGAATCTACAAAGGATGATCTCAAACGATTAAAAGATAGTGGAAAAGTTAAAGCTACACATGATACAACAAAAGTATGGGTTAGTGCATTAGAAAGGTTTCAAACAGATGTAGGGTATCAAGATAAAATTGAAGATATTACAGACAAAAATGTTCTTAAAGAACAATTGTCTAAATTTATTTATACTATGAAAAAACAAGATGAGACCGATTATCATGTATCATCAATCAGAAATTGTGCGGCAGCCTTATGAAGATATTTAAATGAAAAATCAGTACTTCC